GCAAACGAAAGGCATATCAGGTTATAATGCCTGCTCCCCCCGTAATATTTATTAGAACAGTACTGCAGGCGTGTGGAATGCATGTGCTTTCCCTGTAGAGTGAGGTCTTTGTCTTTGTCAATGTAAGTCCTGGTTCAGAGAAAAAATCATAACACCGAAGACACGGTAACTAAACCTTTGCAAATAATCATTACGAAGAAACAAACAATCAAAGAGACGTCGTAAATGCGAATTCACGAGGTGATCAATTGACACCCAATGTTACCATTTAATTGGTTGCATAAATTTATGCCAGAACAATGATTTTCAATATAACTGCAACTTTCGAGTCAGCCGTAATTTCCAAAGCATTCCCCGGAAGAACACGGATTAGAGTTCTGCATGAGACTTCAAAACAGACTTCCGGTGGTAGGCGGCGTAAAGAAATAGAGTGCGAGTGAAATTTGTAGCATAAGATTAAAAAACGGAAACAGAGGTCAATCAAGTTAGATAATAACGAACTTACTCACAGTCGCTGTCAGTTTACAACACGCGTTCTTTGAATGGTAGCATCAGAGTGTCATTTTTGTTGATGGAGCAATATTAAATTATCCGAGAGAAATGATGGAAATGTTCATACAGTGAAATTGAAGTACAAGTCAGTGATAACTAAAGAAATTCAATTAATGAATAATGAATTTTAATGCTGTCTGACGCTTTTCAGCAGCAATTCTAGGCGTTCCCGCGGGAGACAGTAAAAATAACGAGAGTAGGGGGTCGCATGGCAGGAGGAAGTGTGGTGAGTGAAGGGATCTATACCTCCTGCCCCCTCCCGACCCCGTCCCCGTAATCGTCTGTGATAAACCTTGGTACCGTCGACGAGTAAAGTCCTGGTAACTGAAGGAGCTCCTCATAGTTTATACGGCAGCTATGGGCAAAGGTGGAAGGATCAGTTAGAAATACAGAAGAAGCGAAATGTAGCTACCGTTCATCAAAATTTGAAAAGAATGCACCATTCGAACGTATGTTATGTCGTTTACTCACTGAACTGTAAATGATGCAAAAGACAGTGACGATGTTTGGTGGATGGTATCAGGAAATGAACCGAGACAATTACCCTTCTGCTTCTAAATGGTCAGTGTCTGGCGAAGAAACAATTGGCGCATTCTCCAGACATGTTTACCCAACTTCTAAGGGCATTGCACTGTCGGCTCCATCTACATTGCTGACCAGCAGTTCGTCCTGTAGACTTAACTGCCCATTGCTGAGAAGGGGGAACAGTGTGATACCTCAGAGTGACAAGCATTTCTTCAATGACCAGCGACCGACGGTTTCTATTTTTCTCTTTTAGTGACAGTTAGTGCAACAACGGTAAAGTTTCGCTATTGCCTAACCTGAACGTTCAGAGACGTCGTTCGATGATGGCGCATGACGTTTCGGTGCCATTTACGAGCGGTACTTTTTCCTTACTGGCGACGGTCAGTCGACAGAAGCGGAAATGTACTACATTTGGCAATAAGTGATTTTTCTCTCACCGACTTTGTCATAACGATTTGGCCGGGAAGCGACTGGTCGAATCAGAAAACCTTAACGTTTCAGAATGAGTATGTCGAGCAAACGCCTTCTCTACTGTAAGGTCGCCCGTCACTGCGATGGCTGCATCCATCTAAATGGCATTTTTCGTTTTTGTCAAAGACCATTGGCAAATTGCATGCAAATACATCTGAAAGTGCATGTGATGAGTTCGCATCATAAACTGAAGCATTTAGCGTTGCTGGCGACGACCTGCAACGAGTCAGTTTCTCACCAAGTCACTAGTTTTGACACACGACGTGCCAAATGACCTGTCAACGCAGGGCAAGCACATAAGTTTACGCCGCGAGTGCAGTTCATCGAAACTCACTGACGAGGTGGCAGTCCTTCAAGCAATATTCGGTGTTGTTTGATCGCCTGGGAAATTTGCGACAGTCGGCGAAACAGCTGCGGATTCGTTCGACGAACGAGGCCAATAAACTGGCCACCGAAGTTGTATTATTTTAATGAAAGGATAGCGAATCCCTGTTTTGTGTTTTTAATTAATTTGTTAAGCGTTCGGTGCGAATGCAGTAAAATTAATGACGTTCCACGTTCAGGCTGTAAACGGTGTCAGGCACTGTTCCCCTTTCACCTCGGCGTACGATCGATATACTGAGGTCGCTAACATTGTGTTCTGTCCAAGGAGCAAGAACTACGAATGGGAGTACAACGTGAGGAACGATCCTGTCCTGTTCTGCGAATAACAGATGACCTCAGTGGACGCGAACATGAAGAAAAGGAAGCTGGCTTGCTGGAGAAACCAGCTGAGTGTAAATCATTACTGTAGTCCATGAGCTTCTCGCATGAGAGCTGAAGCACGGCAGACGTCGGCCACGACGGAGTAACAGAGAAGAGGCAGATCTGCTTTCAGAGAGGAACAGTTTTTCTATGGGGCATTAGCTGATGCCTTCCAGCGACGGCGTTGTGAAACTACAAGCGCAAAGCATATCACAAAGAAGAGTCGTTCTGCTTATGCAAATGGCTCAGAGCAATGATATCAACAAACATGTTGTACAGTATTTACCGTACCCGTTTAATCGGTTCAGCGATGTTTGGATTTATCCTCGAAATCATTTAAGAAAAAGGAAAAGTAATTGTTTTGCTGCAGTAACGTAGGCCTCCAATACATTTTTATTTCCGGCGTAATTACGCATTTGCTCCTTCATAGAACGTAAAGTACAGCCTCAATCTGTGCTGCAAAATTATGAGGTATGAGTGCCATCTTGGTAAGAAACTCAGGCTTCTTTACAGGCGAATGGCTGCTACGGCTTTTGGTCAGCTACTTTCTTAGGATGTAATGAAACTTTGGCCTACGTCAGAATCATGAAAAATGAGTGACTCGACTGAAATTCGAAACCGAAATCTTGAGTACAGTGAGTCTGGTGACTCGTCAGTGAGCCATGAGAGCCACCTTTGTCTAAAGCTGAAATTTGATGACATACTGATTTTTGTAAATACGCAAAAGAAGTACAAGAAGAAACATGATCGAAGAAACTTGCAATTGCTAAGACCATATCAATGCAGAAAAATCGTTTTCCTTAACACAGAGCAAATGACTAGAACTGACAGTGCTCTTAATCAGAATGAGGAGGACTTACAGGCTCGGTCGAAAATCTGGTTTTAATTGCTAGGACCATTGGCTGTGCATTAAGTGAAAATTCATTCGACATTGCAGAAAATGAAAGGTTGCGGAAACATGGAAAAGTTTAAAAACTGTTAGAGGAAAATATTGATTATCTGAACGGATGGGAAATAACTTTTGAATCATGTTTGGCATGAGCCAAAGACACAGCTTTTGCCTCAAGTGTCACCATAGCTGCAGACCACAGAACTAACTACAGAAATCAACCTATGCCACTCTAAAGAAGGTTCATGAGAGATCAGCCGTAACGTCGAATCACTCACCGATTGACCTACTTGTTTGCTTACCTTGTGTATAAATAAACCGGTTTCATGCATTTTCAGTTTTTAGTATGATTACCAACGCACGAACAAAATACTCTATCTATAGATAAATATTGAGATGAACATATTATAGGAAACCTATGTAATTAATACAACATCGGCCCCCTTTGGGGGTGTTCCCTTTGTTGTCATACGTTTATCTTTGATCTTTTCTTCATTGGGTTGCTTATTTTCTATGTTTCATTCGCTTTTGTATACACTGCTTAATATCTGTTCCATTCTACACCACGATACCCGTCAAAACGTAGTCACGGTACTACTACGTACCGTTCCAAGCCCGACACAACATTGTGCAATAACTATTTAATGTTGCCGATCGTACCGGTGGCTTGTCACATTCAGATGCAAGACTGTTGCCGACCTTGCATCGAAATCCTAATGGCTGCGGACTCCTGACATTGCTTGTTATCGAATTAATTATTAGAAAACGATATTAATTTACATTTTATTCGGTTCGATAATGGTGCCGAGGCAAGGTCAGTGCCGCAGAGCTCGTTCACAGGTTGCGGAGGGTGAGATAACCCTCAGATTTGAGGGCAAGTTGCAATATAAGCTGAGAATCCGACGAATGAGCAGTCGCGGACAACGTGAGGACAGTGGTGAGAGAGCGCAGTGAGCAAACATTTTGCAAAGTAGGCTGTAGAAAATACCACAGGGCCCGATAACAGCTCGGTGACATGGCGAGTAAATGCCGTCATCAAATAAGCATGCAGCTAACCCGAACGAGCCGTAGCCGGTTCCCAACAAAGACAGATTGGCGTCAGGCAGGCAGCTGACCTTAAAAACCAATGCCAAAGCCAAATACGATGAGTCAACTTGCCTCTAGAAAAAATTCTAGGGCGTTTTACACAGGAGATGCGAAGCAGCAAATCCTGGCGGCTGTCAGAAATGCGCAAGGGAACCAGTTCTCACGACGATGGTAACCGCAAAGGGAGAAACTGACATGCAATACTCATAAAAGAATCGAGAGTATCCGAATAGCCACTTGGAACGTTTGAATAATGAGGGGAAGGACACGCAGCTAAGGAACGTCTTCAGAGAAGAAACTTCATATCAGTTGCTTTCAGGAGACGAAATGGAAAGGTGAGAAATCACAAGAGAATGGGCTAGGCTAATAACTCATTTATTGAGAAACATCAAACAGAAAACATGGAGTCGGAGTGGTATTGAACGAACGGTCAAAAAACAGGGTATTCGAAATCAACCGAGTTAATGATAGAATCATTGGCGCTTAGCTGACTACGGAAAGCGGATCTTAGATATCACAGATACTACGCCCTCAGAATAGTCAGAATGAGAACGAAAAATCGACATTCTGGGAGAGACTGCCCACTGCAGTGCAAAACAATCGGTGAAACGAAAAAGTAGCAATCGAAAGACAACTTAATGGGAACTTCGGTAAAATTAGAAGGGGTTACAACCGGATCTATGGCGGATATGGACATAGTATGTTAAATAAAAAAGAAGAGAACATCCTGCAGATGGCAGTTGCATATTATCTGGCTCTGTTAACGTTCTTTCAGAAAAAAGAAAACCACCTGCTATGCAGGCAGAAGAAAAGTCAGATCGACTACTTCCTGCTCCTAAGGAACGAACTGAAGAACTTGAGAGATTGCAAGGTTATCTCAGGGAAAACAGTCACAAGCCAGCACCAGCTACTGGTCTTAGACCTCTCTCGGAACAGCCCATTCAAATGGTGGGCGCGATGACAGGCCCGTAGATGCAACGGTGGAACTCGAAGGGAAGCTGAAAGCGTTCAAAATGGAGGTTACGAGAAAAACGACGAAATACGACTGGAATAAGGAAGTGGACGATGTATGGGAGCGGATGGCCACGTAATCATAGGGAATTCCCAAGGCTTAGTCGGCCAAACACAAGGTACAACGCATATAGAGGAAAAAACGTGCTGGTGGAGTGCAGAGGTTCAGGTGACCCTACGACAGAAGAAAGAGCTGTTCAAGAAATGGTAACTATCAAACCGTGTGGAAGACAGAAAAAAATAAGCCATATCAAAGAGGGATGCAAAGAAAGTCGTTGCTGAAGCAAAGTCTACAGCGTTCTAGAGCTTAAAGAAGCTAACAACAAAGAAGGGGAGAAAAGCTTCTGTCGTATAGTAAAAGCCAGAGAAAGAAGAAGAGGAGACGTCGGTATTGTGATGTGCATAAAAGACGAAAGCAGAATGGTGCTGACCGATGAGAAAGATATTCGAAAACGATGGCGAAGGCAGTTCCAAACGCTACTGAAAAAAGAACATTCTAGAGAGGTCGCGGAAGAGATCCCACAATACTATAGATTAATCCAAAAGATGTCAGCGGAGGAAGTGGAACAAGCCTTTAGCAGAATGAAAAATAAAAAGCCCCTTGGCCCGGACGGTGTTCCCGCAGAAGTATGTAAACACTGGGAAGAGGAATGGTGGTTCTGAACGCTGTTCAACGAAGCGATGCAATGTGAGAAAATGCCAGAATAATGTTGACAGTGTATTTTGATACCAATCTACAAAATGAAAGGGGACATGCTCGCCTGTGAAAACTAGCTGGAAATTACACTGCTTAGTCACACCACGAAGGCATACGAGAAAGTGCTGGACAAAACATTGAGGAAGGTGGTCGATATCACCATGAAGCAACTTTTCTTTACGCCAGGCCGATCAGCCAAAAATGCTCTCTTCGCTTTAAGATCAATCCTCGAACATACGGAGAACAGAGAAGGTAGACAAGGCATTCACATGGCGTTCCTAGACTTGGAGAAAGCCTTTGACCGAATCCCGAGGCAAGCAATCTGGTGGAGCATGAGAAAGAAGCTTGTGGGAAAAAAATGTCAGGCTTGCCAAAGACATGTATAGCACAGTGACAAGGAGAGTTCGAAGCACATGCGGAGCAACGGAAGAGTACCTTGTGCGCGTAGGAGTTCATCAACGATCCGTCCTGAGCCCATTTCTGTTCACGATGGAGACAGACGCGATGACTGAGGATCTGCAGGAAGCAGCCTCATACTATGCATGTTCCCTGCAGATGACATTATGCTGCGCAGCGGAAGGAGAGAAGCAGTAGAAGCAGAAATGGAATCATGGAGAACAGGCCATGAGAAGAACGGCCGTCGACTCAGCAAAGGCAAATCAGAATATGTGGCGAGCTACTTCAGTGGGACAAACAGATTGAAAGCCGTCAAACTAGTGAAATTAGCGAGAGCTTGCTGCCTCAGGTTCAAGGATTCAACTATATTGGTTCCATTCTGCAAGATAATGCTGACATCGACACAGCGAGGTAAGGAATCGGTCGAAGAAGGCTTGGTTAAAATGAAGATAAGTGAACGGAGTACTGTTCGACAAGAAGATGCCCATCAGACTGA